TTATTATTATTATTAAATAAGTATTATGTGTATTATGTATTAGCCGGATTTAATTTTCGCCACGTCGAACCGAGCCTCGAATAATTTTTGAGTCGAGCCCGAGAGAACCGACCGATTTCGATTATTTTTCCGTAGCCATTTTGGGATCTTTTTCTCTCGCCCATTTGTTTCAGAATAATTGGATATTATTATTTGGCATTTATTTTATTTTTCTAAGTAATTTTTTGGGCTCGATAATTTTATTTCGATTAAATGCTCTTAATTGCTAAATTGTATTAATTTTAATGTCGAGCCGGATAGTATTATTTATTTTATTTTCGGTCAAACCAAAAATATTAAATAAACGAGACTTCGAACCAAGCGAGTGTGAATGTTATATTGCCGAATCGGGCCGCCCGAACCCGCCTATTTTTCCTCCCCAGCCGGACCACCCGCTCACTCGCCCAGACCGGTTCGAACCGCCTACGCCCGCCCGTGAGAAAACCGGCCCCAAACCAGTCGCTCATCATCTTGTGCATGCATGAGATTCATTTGAATTTTTGAAATTTGAATGCAATCCTATCCCTCATTTTATGCTAACCAATTCCCCCCTCCATGCTCTTTACAAAATTTTAGAGGGGAGTTACAAGTCTTGATTTTGGAATTTAAGGAAGGTTGACCCCCCCTCACTCTCATTCCCAATCTTCACGTCACCCTCTTTTTCTCTCTCGCATCTCACTCAGAGCAAAGGAAAAGAAAATCACGTGATCTCCTTCACCTCGCCGCTGCAACTTTCGGCGCCAGCAAACCAGCAGCGACTCCTCCGTCCGTGCACGTAGCCGTTCAACCGTGACCCGTCGAGTAGCCCCTCGGCCTTCTGTTTTTCGACGATCTCTCCAACCAACGGCCGCCTCGAGCACCCCCAGTGAACCCCGACGAGAACGACACCACGTGCAGGCCATTTCCGGCGACCTCTGCCGGCGAGCTGTTGCAGCGTGAAGCTAATGTGCGGCCACTTTCGGTCCCTTTTCGTTACTCCGAGTCCAGTTCGCGAGCCGACTTCCGACCCGTTCGGCCGACCCATCGTTCGTCCCGTTTTTCCTTCGTTAGCTCGTGAATTTTCAAAAGCGGGTAACTTATTCGAACCCTCTCATTATTCCGGTCGTGTTCGTATTTCACATGATAGCTAAATATATCATGCGTATTGCCGATTATTTGTTTGAAGTCGGATTTTGGTTATAATTGTTATCGGCTCGTATATGTCGTTTTGTTTATCGGGTTATGCTCGTGACTTCGTTAAAACCGAATATCATGTTTTTTCTGTGTTGAACCTCAATGTGCTCATTTATTTACTGTGGAGAAAGTATATTGATCGTTGTCGAGTTTCGAACCATCCGTTTTGTATTCATTGGTATTTTATGTGAAAATACGTTTTTCGCCGATCTGTTGTGCCGCGTTTTAAGCTATCGGAGACTGGTTATTTGAAAATGTGGTCTTCATATGAAATGTAGTATGTCCAGGTTCCTAAATCTGGGCTTTGGAATTTCTCGATTCCGATCTATATCGAAAACGTTATGATTTTTACAAGATTTGTGGTACGTCCAGTTTTCCTGTAACCGGCAGCATAAATGTATTAAATGGTTGATCTGTTTTTTCATGTCAAAATATGCTCATATGAACTTACACTCTTCATGAAAGTTACAGATCTGTTTCTTACCTTTCAAATGAGATAAATTTCATGTTGATGAAGTTAGATATGCATGAGTTTTTATGAAGTTAGATATGCATGAGTTAGGAATTATCATGTTGGCAGAAATCTGTAACTGAATGTTAACCAATTTTTCACTATCTAAATGATCTTATATGCTTCTGTGATCTAAATGAAAGTTGTAGAGGTTTGCTTAGGGTTTAATTTGGGATTTGAATCATATCATTTAGAGATCTGTAGCTCCAGATAAATGATAAAACCTGAAGTACTGTCCATATCACATGTTTATTTTTGACAGTTTTACTGAATCACATGTTTTGTGTTTAAACTAGTTGAATATGTGATTATTTTCCAATATGATCTTCAGAAAAGTTGCAGACATTTGAGTTGCCTATCCGGGGGTTTTTGAATTTCATTAAAAGCATGCCTGTAGCTCCAGTTAGATAGTAAATACTGAAGTCTGGTCAAGTGCATTCTCCCAGTTTTGGATTGTGACTCAATTTTAATGTTTGTTGATTTATCACCTGTTAAATGACCTTATTTGCTTTCAGTATCTTCATAAGAGTTGTAGTTTCATGCCTTAGGATTCCAATGCAACTTGATTCATGTTCATATGAGTTATATGCTGAGAGTTATGTTGATTTTAAAAATGCTGCCGGGTTAAATTTTCAAAACTTATGTGGTATTTTCGAAAATGTGTTTTTCCTTGTTTTAATGCGTGCCTAAATGATTACGTGAACTTAGTTAGACTTAGTGATCATAGAATAGTCTGTGATAAGGCTATTTTACTAATGTAGGTGTTTGACGAGTCGACCTCGCCGCCTACCTTATTTTGTGTTCATTCCGATCGCTACCAGGTGGTTCATTTATATTGAATCTACGTTTATCGCACTTGTTATTTCGTATAAATGTTTGTCGCGATAGTTTTTGTATGCGTGAGAACCCTAGTCTAAGTGTCCTGATGGTAGTGCCTTTGACGAATGCATAATCAGTGGAAGTCACCTGCCCGTTGCATCCGGGAGGTGGACGCCCGAATTCGTGCAGAGCGGAGGGGATTGTCTGAACGCCCGAATCCGTGTAGAGCGGAGGGGTAATTCAACTTCACTGTCTCCTGGATAAGATCCTATGCCCATTGCATCCGGGGTGGGAGTGCTTCCACTTACATCCTCGCCGATGTCTGATCAGGAGGTTTGTTGTATGTACATAGGAGGTTTGCGATAGGGCCTAATAGGGAGTTAGATCTGGATTCTATGCATACAATATTTATGGTTATGGATCGTTATACAAAATATACTGTGCGGTAATGGTGAGTATGATGGTTGTACTCACCCCCATTTACTTTTCTGTCCTCTTATTTCCTCTTCCTATCCTTTTAGGTTGAGCATGGTTGGCGGCGGCAGCGAGAGACGATCGAGTGGTGGTCGTTGGATTGTGTGCTACTTGCTTCTGCTTTTCTTTTTATTTTCTCGATAGGCCATCTGGTTATCCTTGAATGATTATGCTTCCGCATTATTTATTTTGAACATGTTGGTTGGACTAATAGATTTTTGTTGAAGTATTTAATTATGCATGACTAGGTTTGAGGATTATGAATAAATTGAATTTTATTTTGAATTGTCAGATTTTATCTATGTAAATGTTTATTTGTTTTAGTTGTTTAAGTAGCGCCCGTTGGATGTTAAAGTTTTAAATTGGTATTTTGCGAAAAATAAACTCTGATTTTTATAAATAAATTCGGTAAATTCCTTAAAATAAAACGGGGAGTTACAATATCTAAGTGCGAAACAACAGAACGTAGAACTTGTTTAATTAACCGTTCGCATATTTAAAGAAGTAGCTAGCATCGTTGCAGAATTCTGGTGCAGTAGAGGCTATGATCACTCTATAGGGTTACATTGAAAAGGATGGAACTTTCTGACTTTGGCAAAGAAGCAGGGGGGTTTGGGCTTCAAAGATGTCAGCCTCTTCAATGATGCAATGCTAGTGAAACAACTATGGAGAGTGTTAACAAAGCCACATCTTCTTATGAGTTGAAGAGCAGGTACTTTCCCAACTCTTCACTCTTTGAAGCTCAGCTGATACAAAACTCCTCTTGGCTTTGGAGGTCGTAATGGAAAGTGAGGTGGTTGCTAAAGGAAGGCCTGCAGCTAGAGATAAGGAATGGAGCCTCTGTAAGGCTTATTATTGGGTTCCAGGAATCAGAAACAGGAGCCTACAACTCAAAGGAGGTATTGGCTGTGGAAAACTATGGGTAAAGGATCTTATTGATGGGAGCAGAAACAAGTGGAACGAGCTGGTGATCAGAGAGATGGTTGAAGAGGAATATTGTGCAGAAGTTCTCAAATTTCAGACACTTGACACACAACTAGATGATAAGTGGAGCTGGAGGATGAGAAAGAAAGGCAGATTTTCAGTAGCATCATCCTATGCTTTCCTGCACCAGAGAAAACTTCTAGTCTTAGACATTGCAGAGGGGAGTAGCACGACTAGGAAGAAATGATATTAAAATACAATTAAAACATTTAAAATAATCATAAATAATAAACATATTTATGATAATCCGAACCTAATTATTTTTGGATTAGAATTAAATTAAAATCTATCCAAACCAAATAATGAAGCATGAAATTTTGACACATAGGATCCCGAAGCATGCGAGCCTGCCACTTAGGCTCAACATATTTGAGAATTATATATAAGGGGATTTTAAAAACGTTGATTAGATTAGGTTTGAGTAGGATTATGAGTTTATATTAAAATAATATTTTAAATTTAAATAAATTTATTAAGCCTGATTTGATGTAAAAATAAGAGAGATGTGATTGAAAGTGATGACTAGTTAAAATTATGTGAGTGAATGAATAATGAATTAAAGTTGATACGGTGAGTAATAATGATTGATTAATATTATTTAGTTATATTAATAATATTAAAGATAATTAAATTTGAGTTATATTTTGGAATTAAAAAAAGTCATTGAAAATTGTTAGGTTTTTATATCAAGCCCACCCTTGTTTGAAGCAACTGTATTATGTCACTTTGTCACAAAACTTGTTTGACCAAAATAAATGCTTTGATCATCATCCTAGTGTAAAAATATTCATACATTTCTTTCTTGTGTTAAATCCCATGTTTCCATTTTGATAGTAATTTATCTTTATCTATATTGTATCACAATCACAATCTAATAACATGGAAGATTGAGAAAGAATGGAAATTACATGCATGATTTATATTTTTTATTTAGTTTGTTTGACCCTAAACAAAAGAATCCATCCTAGATAGTGTAAAAGAGAGAGAGAGAGCATAGAAGCAAATACATGGACGCATCCTATAACGTATTATCACCTGCCCAACACTCGCCCTTTTTAATGTCTTTTTGACTCTTTTCCACTTTGACGTTCTATAAAAAAAAACACTCTTTCTTGAGCCCCTTGAACTTCTCATCCTCCCATGGCCAACCACACCAAATTCCATAATGTTAAGCGAGAGCTATTGGACCCCGATCTCACTCCCCGCCGCTATTCAGATCCCGCTGCCGTAATCGAACTGTCGAGCTCCGACTCTGACTCTTCGTCCTCCTCTGACGACGACAATGGCGGAAATTATAATGCGAAGAAGAAGAGGAAGAAGACTGCAGAGGACGTGTTGCCTGTAGGGTTTTTGGATCCCTTGCCATCAAAACAGGCGCCATCGCCGCTGCTGCTGCCGCCGCCGCCGCCTTCTCCAAGGGGTGAGCGGTTGCGATTGGAGTTTCCGCCGGCGAGAGCAGGAATTGTTTCGGAGCCAAATTCAAAGCAGTTCTGGAAGGCTGGAGACTACGAAGGGGCGCCTCCTGGGGATTGGGATTCTTCTAATGGTGACTTTATTATTTTTTCTGTTTTTATATTGTTCTTTTTCAATCGTCTTGTGTTCGTTTGTTTTTGTTCTCGATTTTACTCTTTTAATTGTTTTCTTAACTGGGGTTTATGGGAGTGGTTGAAGTACAATCACTTGTGGCTTCTGCATTTTCTTTTGCCCGCGTTGATGATTAGCATTTCTAGGACAAATGCTTGTCGAGTGCATTTTGTGTGCATTTTGCTTCATGGTGTTTTCGCTTATGTTACCCCTTTTACTGGTGACCCTAATAGAAGTTGATTGCATAGTTTGAATAACGGGGCTTAAGATGCTGGTAGACTCTTGTTCAGCAATTCGACTAGACAAAGGGAAATCAGTGCATGATATCGTGTGAACAACTTTTGAGTGCTTTGCATTCAGGAAATATATTCCTCTATACAGTCACTATAGGTTTTTCGGTTGATATTTCTGTTCCGAAAATGCTAGAAAAGCTAGAAAGGAATGTTCCTCATGTCTGCACACATATAGTATGAGGTGGTAGAATGTGAGGATGGAAGCTTCTTCAATTATTTTTTAGGAAGAAGATGAGAACTCTGATTGCATCAGCTTTTAAAGGCAACGCACGGGAAATTTGCTGAAGAGTTGTAAAGAACCTAACTAATCGTGCATGCACATAATGAAGCATAAATACAGTCCCCAGAAATTCTGAATGATGCAGCTTATATGTCTCTTTTTTATTGCTTCGTCCTCCTTTTATGATGTGTGCCTGTTTAACCTCTCACCTGACTCGTGTACTCCATTCTCAGCTGGCATGGACCATGTCAGAGTGCACCCCAAATTTTTACATTCTAATGCGACGAGTCATAAGTGGGTCCTTGGAGGTAAGAACTAGCACAATTCGCTAAAATTGTCATTTTCTTGATGTCTATGTCTGGTTTATATGGAGATGTAATTCATTCTTACAATACTGGTACTGTGAATATACTTTTGCAGCTTTTGCAGAGCTCTTGGATAACTCATTGGACGAGGTAATTGCAATGTACCTTCTTCGTGATAATGTCCATGCGGCGAATCTTTATGCTTTAGATTCATACTTATATGCTGGTTTGTATTTTGACTTCAGGTCTGCAATGGAGCTACATATGTGAACGTAGATATGGTAAAAAGCAAGAAAGATGGGAGCAAAATGTTGCTCATTGAAGGTTTTATCTTATTCTTACATTTCCTTTTATCAACAATATATACTTTCATCTCGAGCACTTGTATCACACTGTTATACATAAACAAATGGCTGATTGAAGTTTAAGTTATACATGGCCACTTAAATTTGATTCATCAATGGCAACCTTTTTCTTGATGTGGAGATAGTCTGTATTATATGTTTATTTCCAGTCTTCTGTATTTTAATTTTGCATGACTATTTAGGTTGTAATTCTTAGAATCCATTTATTTTATTCAGGTTCAATTATGCATTATTCAGTTGTTATGTCTTCTGATTATCTTTTGCTTCTTTTGGTAACCCCATTTATTCTTTAATTTATTGCTTTATCTACACAAATTGTTTACATTTGAGTTCTCAGATAATGGTGGTGGAATGGACCCGGAAAAAATTCGTCACTGTATGTCTCTTGGGTATTCTGCTAAGAGCAAACAGATCAATACAATTGGGCAGTGTAAGTTATCCTATCCCCACCNTATGTTTTTCAGATGGAAATGGGTTTAAGACAAGCACCATGAGGCTTGGCGCCGACGTTATTGTTTTTTCTCGCTGCTCTGGGAAGGGTGGACTAAGGTTTGCAATCTTTGATCTAGTAGAATTGCTTTATGGTACAATATCATTATGGTTTCCTCTTAAGAACATGATGAATTTTATTTTTTACTCAAAGAGCTAGGAATGAACAATGTGTTAACTATTCAATATGTCCATCTGCACAACGTAGCTCCGTATGCTACGATATTTCTTATTGATACTGGTTAATGATAATGTTTGGAGGCTTGGAGCAGAGTTGCCTAACTAGGTATCTGGAATATATATACACACACATATATATATATATATATGTATACGAGTGTGTGTGTGTGTATATGTGTGTGTGTGTATAGTGTTACTGCAATCTGTATTTTCATATTCACTTAGTTATTGTTTATTTCATGCTATATAGACACGTCACTATTTTTGAGTGCTTTTGACTATCCTCATATATCTTTGTTATACAACTAATTGAACAATGAGATTTATTATGGTAACCGAAATTCTGTCAAACAGATTGTGTTGTTTCTGGTGTATTTTGAATGGTTACTTATAGTTGTCATGGTGGAGTAGATTAACATTATTTTTTGTTTTATTCTTTTCATTGATTAAATGACATTAATGGCCTTCATAATATTCCGTTTATGAAGTCCTTGTTCTAAATTTCATTGCTGGGTTTACCTAGGAACTCATTCATATAGCTCGGCTGTTCTGTTGCAATTGGGAAACTTAGATAAAGTACCCATATTTATTTTATCTGATTGTACCCACAATAAAGGACATTTTAAAATCATAAACTGAAATTTGATTGTTTGTATTTTGCACAATAATGATGCAGTATGTATCAGTAATATGCTGATATAAGTTTCTTATCGTGATACATCAATTGATCGAATTTCTTAGTTGTTCGAGTAAACAGAATATCAACAGAAAAATGTTCATACATTCATTCTGATTTTTATGTCATGGATACAAAGGAAGATTAGTTTGTCATTGATTCGAATGCATCGGTCCACACTTTGATTCTGATTCAGACAGTCGTTTAAATATATTGCCAAAATTGTAGTGTGCGACCCAATTTATGGCTGGTAAAAGAGGTTCCATATTCCTTTCCTATGTGTAAATGTAAATGCACCATGTACATTGACTATTGCTGCGTAGTTAAGAACAGTATTAGGAATGCCTAAAGCATTACATGCAGTCAAGAGTGCTACCTTCTGTTCCATGTTCCTTTTCTAATTACATGCAGTCAAAAGTGCTACCTTCTGTTCCATGTTCCTTTTCTAATTTTATCTCCATTTCCTTTATCTGGTCCCTCTGCACATTGATCTTCTGTGATTTTCTTTTATTAACATCTCTTTGCTAGTTTGCTTATTTCATGGACTGTTGAATGGTTGTGTTTATAGGCCGACCCAAAGCATTGGACTGCTTTCATATTCATTCTTGAAAGACACGGGAAAACAGGACATTGTAGTCCCCATGGTGAGCAATTATTTACCATTACGTGTAGATGTTAATGTAGCATCCTTTTTGTAACTATATATTTAATGAAGTGTTCTCAATTTTATAAACAAGGTGGATGGCTTGGCTGCACTCGACTAAATTGGCAACTTATCTACTTTGTTTTTTTGTTCCAAAACTACATGTGTAGGAAGACCATTGGAAACATAAATAAAAAACACACTGAAATTATATTTTGTCATATTCTATAGAGATGTGACTTGTTAGCTGATGAGTGACCCTGATATAGTTATTTTTACAAATAACTCATGGAGACGTATCTACTTCAAGACTTATACGAAAGAACGCATTAAGTTTCTAATTATTTGGAAATCTACAGGGCCAATTGCATTGTCGGGGAACAAAATACATAAAACACGTTCACGTGCTTATGTGCTGATGGCAATTACAGATTCCCTGATTCTAACTTAACCCAGTTCTCCTATTTTTAAATTGCTCTATTCCATTTCAGAAAGGAACACTCGTGTTTATGCATATGCAAACTCAATGTTGTACTACTCTAGAATTTAAAGAGGTTATATCAACTCACATCGGATAGTCAACCTCTCTCATCAGCTATACAAGCATCTTTCACATAAATAAGGACATAAAGTATCTAGTATCACCTGCTTGTAGGCAACTGCTGTTATCTGTCTGAAGATGACTTTTTTGAATTGAAATGTAATCAAATATGAGACCTAGCTCACATAAAATATTGAAAAGGCGTTTCTTAGCAAGCCAAAACTTGTGTTTGTTGTTTTAGAGAAGTTTGTAGTAACCAACATATGTGTAGTTCCATGTAACTTCCCTTGCATTTGTGATGTTATATGATTTGAAAAATTGGTGGCCATCTTTTTGTTAAATTCACGACTTTTCTAAGACAATTCTATTTCTTTGTTTTATATGCTTCTTGGCTAATGGGGAATGCTTTACCGTCAAAGGAAAACCAGATTAGTGCAACTATTGTTGAGAATTATCATTACTTTTCAAAGTAATTGTTGGCCTTATTGCTGGGCCATATTATTGATTTTATTTTATTTTTTTTCAAAATGATTAAAGCTTGATTATGAAAGACAAGGACAAGATTGGAACAGGATACTTCGATCTTCTGCCACTGGCTGGGATCGAAATGTTGAGACGATAGTTCAGTGGTCTCCATTTTCAAGTGAAGCAGATCTTCTTCGGCAGGTGATTCTTGTTTAATGGTTTTTGTGACGGTGTAATGTGGATTTACTGCATTTATGCTCTAAAAGTTTGGCTATGTTATGTAATAAATCTTGTCGCCGACTTTCTGTCATTAGTGTTCAAGTGTCTGAAGTGTCAATGCAGTACTGCAGCATCATCATTTTCCTCTATTTTATGCTTCTCTAATAATCACTGGGTATATCGCCATTTTTGTGTTATTTGTGTTTACCGTGTAGCGGAATTTCTTGGTTCGTTAGAGGTCAATTGGCTGATTCATTGCATCATTTTATTTATGCAAGTGTTGGGCTTTAGGCACATAAGGTTAGAGTACCTATTATGGTTATGTTTAGATTTGTGTCTCTATTAATAGAATTGATGCATTGAAGATTGGCAGGATTTTTCCCAAAATAAATTATGATGAGCGGGATTCGTTCAGAGTTGTTCTCAGTTATTTCTTAATTAATAATATGGATTAGTTTCTAATATTTCTGGTTTGAACCTCAAATTTATCAAGATAACCTCTAAAAGTGTTAGGATGCGGTTGCATAGCATTTCATTTTGAAAGTTTTCATTTGATAAGAGAATAGTTTTGATTTTTCTTTCTTCTAATTTTTGTCAAAGAAAACTAAAATTTTTGAAGTGATTGAATATAAGAATTGTAATGATTAAAATTGATTTGCTATATAATAGTGGAATAGTGATTGGTATTAGGGTTTGAGTAGGTGAAATGATGAATAATGTATGTTAATTGAAAAATGCGTAAAAGCCATTGGTGATTGCATGATATTAATAATAAGTTGATTTGTCGGAGAAGAAGGTTAAGGCATGTGAATGGTAGAATTTTTATACATGTAAATTTTCAAAATCTCAAAATTGAACAATCTCCCGTCACATCCTTATCTTTTCTACCATTCCCGGACTTGTGAAACACTCACACCTTTCTCTACCTATTTTTTCTTTCCTCCTTTTCTTTAACGGCACTGTTAGTTCGCCTTCTATCTCGACTTATTACCTTTCTTCGTCATTTATTTCAACTCCTACATCTAATGCGACCCATGAGGGTTATCTAAAATCTATTTCAATTGAATTAATAATAACACCCAAGTCTGGCCATAATGTCAATGATACTGATATCAGCATGTCTGGAAAGGGCCAGGCATTGAAGTGACTGCATTGTATGGCTTTGATCCCCTCCACTTTTGAACAATTTTCCATGGCATGGAATTCTTCTTCTTCTTCTTCTTTCTCATTTCAGATTCTAAGTGACCTTTTAAAAGATTGCAGTTCACACACACTACCAGCATCCCAAGGCTGTCCTTTGAATACTTGTTCTAGTGAACAGTGAATTTCTGCAGGGCTTTATTTTCAACAATATCACCCTCTTCTTTCTCATTTCAGATTCTAAGTGACCTTTTAAAAGATTGCAGTTCACACACACTACCAGCATCCCAAGGCTGTCCTTTGAATACTTGTTCTAGTGAACAGTGAATTTCTGCAAGGCTTTATTTTCAACAATATCACCCTGATAGTGAGCAGGGCATGTAAAAGTGCTAATTGGCTTGGGTATCTACCATACCACTATCTTTAGTGCATATATGACATATCTGTAAGAATTTTTGAAATCCCAGTGTACGTACTTGTATACATCGTTGGAGGATGTGGAGGGGGAGAGCTTAGGTTTCCGCTTGCTTCTGATGGGGATTGGTGTGGGCTACTTTTATGCAATTAAGTTGTCTATGATTTGATGAATGGATTATCAACTAGTCTGCTAATCTCACACTTTCTACTTTGTAGTTTAATCACATGCAAGATCAAGGTACTCGAATAATTATATACAATCTTTGGGAGGACGATCAGGGCCTGCTGGAACTGGATTTTGATACTGATCCACATGTAAGTTGCATTAGTAGCTTTTAATCTGTAGGTGCTTGTAGTCTCTTGACATATTTCTTTGTTTTCATTGTATTTCTAGGATATCCAAATCAGAGGCGTCAACAGAGATGAGAAGAGCATAGATATGGCAAAGAAATATCCCAACTCCAAGCACTTTTTGACCTATCGTCATTCATTGAGGGTAATAGCTGCAGCTTATGCTCTTGTGCATTGGGTGTCATTGTGATATCCTCAGCCCGATTAGTTTTTATTTATCTTTTAATTGCAGGTTTTGTTATTGATCATTGTCTCGTGGGTCTTTCTATTCAGTGTCCTTGTGCTTTTAGGGCTTTCATAATCTGTTCATGCATCTGTTGTCGCATACACTCCTGAATTTACAAGTTACATAACAAGCCAAGATTTTTTATGAGTGTCACCGTCTAATAGTTTGCTAGGTGAAGGCTGCTGCTAAGTTCCTGTGGGCATTTCTCTCCACTTCTCCACTGTCCTCGTGCTTTTAGAGTTTTCGTAATTTAATTATGCATCTGTTGCCGCATGAACTTTTGGATTTACAAGTGAGTCGTGAGTCATAACTTCGCCGAACCTTTTGTTGAGTTTCACCAACTAATAGTAGGCTAATTTAGGGCTGTTGCTAAGTTCTGAGTTTGTAGGTTTTATAGTTCAGGATAAGTTATAATCGATAAGCAATTGAAGCATGGACATAAAAGCTTTAGGAGGAAGTAGTTAATATATCTAATATACTTGCCAATTGTTCTTGCAAATTTAAGGGTTTGTGAGCTTGCACTTTGGCATTGGAAGATATATGTTTTCTGGCATATGGTGTAACCAGACTTTTCGTTACATGATACGGATATGGCATTTCTCGTCCGATTTACATTGCTTGACCTAAAATGGGATTTAAAGGCTTATAAGCAAGGATAAGAACGGTCAAGTCTGTGTTAAGATTTAAACAAGAAGCCTTTGCAGTAGATGAACAAATTAAAATGAAAAATTAAATCAGTGATTTGGACTGTGCATTGATATATGGAACAAATATTATCAAGTGGTTTCTTAACTGTATCCATATGGATGTGTACTTGGAGTATATACATGCTAGTGTTTTAAACTGTTATTTCACATGTACATATTAATATGTAGGATCTTTTATCTATTGTAAATTGTGAAGTGGTTGTGCTAATTCTCTGACTTGTAACTGTACAATGGGAATATGATTCTTCTGCATCAGAGGACATTCGTAATTATGGGCTAAGTGGACATGGTGGATTGGGATGAAATGTTTGTTCCTTTAAGATCAACTCATGAAGTTAGGGACATTACTTTGATTGTGTTCATCGATGTTTAAAACTGAAGCTTTGTTGGGTTGAAAACATCACACATACTTCCCAATAGTCTGCGCCTGACTAATTTAAGCAAAGCTATGGGCTACTTGGACATGGTGGATTATGATGATATGTTTGTTCCTTCAAGATCAACTCATGAAATTAGACATTAATTCGTTTGTGTCATTTTTGAAACTGGCGCTCGGTTGAACACATCACACATACTTCTCAATAGTCTGCACCTGAAAATTTTTAGCAAGATTCTTAGCATTCATGGTTTAAGAATCGTTACTGGGATTTTCAATAATATAATTGAGAAAGCCAAACTCCAAACCAGAGTAGGTTTCAGTTATGGCTGCTATAAGTGTCTTGGAAATGTAAGCTGTGCTCTTGTGTAGCAAGCCAATTACATTAAGTTAGGATTTTCTGAAGGCTAAAACAAGAGTGTATAGCCTGTCTCTCACCTTGACTGTGACTCTCATTCTTAACTTAAAAGGACCATTATTTGCTTACATACCCACAAATTTACTCATTTATGTAATATGCATCCATTTCCAGTTGCACTTTTAGATAGCAATCAGAAATGAATTTTCTTTTAATGGAACACCACTGTTGAATTGCAGAGTTATGCAGCTATTTTGTACCTAAGGATTCCGCCTAATTTTCGGATTATTCTGCGTGGTGAAGATGTTGAGCATCATAATGTTGTGAATGATATGATGATGTCAAAGGAAGTTACATACCGTCCTCAGCCAGGGGCTGATGGGATTCCAAAGGACTCAAATGTAACTTTCCTATTCTCACTGAATTTCGTTTCAGTTTCTGGCTCATTTATGCATTCGGCAACTTCATGTATTAATTTCCATGTCTGCAATAGATGATGGCCGTAGTTACTGTTGGGTTTGTAAAGGATGCAAAGGCACATATTGATGTCCAAGGGTTTAACGTCTATCACAAAAACCGACTTATCAAGGTAATTAATTTGATTTATATTTATTTTCAGTCAACTGCATCAATGACAAAATCTAAATTAGAAACTCAGGCAACATTGATCACTTACTGCTTGCATTAGGTTTACATAATTTTTAACTTTATTCCAAGTTCTGCAATATTTATAGCTTGTCAATGTCCCTATAATGTATCTTCTGTAATTTTTTCTATCAGGTATTAGATTCATCTGGTCAGTCTATTTTTTTTAATGCATTCTTTACGTTAGCATGTTTGTGTTTCCACAGCCATTTTGGAGAGTTTGGACGCCCGCTGGTAGTGATGGTCGTGGGGTTATAGGTAATTTTCTAACAAATTACTCCTAAGAAGTATGATTATGTGGGTCAAGTTGGCTAATTCCATATGTTGCCTTGTGTAAGGTGTGCTTGAGGCCAACTTTGTTGAACCAGCACATGATAAGCAAGGTTTTGAGCGGACTACAGTTCTTGCAAGACTTGAGGCAAAATTAGTGCAAATGCAAAAGAATTATTGGTTAATCTCTCTCTTCCTTCCCCCCCACCCCTCCAAAGATTCATTTTGCTTTGCTTTTAATTGTTTGCTTTCATCTGCTCTTTGCAGGTCCTCTAACTGTCACAAAATTGGCTATGCTCCTCGAAATAAAAACGTTCATGAAAGAGGTAATGGAAAAGGACCTAAGGTTTCAGAACATTACTGAAAACCAACACCACAAAAATGATAGAATCCCCCAAAAACCATTTACACAAAATAAATAAAAATTAATTTAGCGAGCGAGAGAGAGAGAGAGAGAGAGAGAGAGAGAGAGAGAGAGAGAGAGAGACGCAGATATATTTCTATTGAAGATCTGGCTGTTGATTGTTTGTTTCCAGATATTTCACCTGATTCTAATCCTCAAAGTGGAAAGGGCAACAATTACAATCATTCAAGTGGAAAGGGAGATGTCAGATCACATAGGAAGCAACCAAGTCGGATGGAGTTATCTTCATCTTCTGAAGAGGATGTATGCAACAATGATAGGCCAAATCGAACTCTCAGAAGCAAGATAAATGGTTCATCATCCAAGAATATGTACGGAAAAGAGGGGTTGCAGAAGCCATCAGGGTTGAGATCTCAAACGACCAGGAGTTCGCACTCACAGGTGAATTTCTACTTGGGTATTGGCTTCTATGTAAAAATGGTTCTCATATCTGTTTAAGATTTTCACTATTGAATGATAAAAAAATGCTGGGCTCCCACGTCTTCAAAATTTTGGATCTAATTTTATGAGCTATGCAGTTGCTTCTATGGGTGCTTGAGGGTTTCTGGTTGGGTTCTTATCAATGTACAAAAATTGTTTCCATTGATAGGAAATTAAGTCATTTACCGTAATCTGTGGGTACTTCTGTCTGATGGATTTTGAATTCAGAGTCAATTTTGTAATCAATCACATATATAACATTTCTCCTATGGATCTGTCTTGCTCATTCTTCATTGCATGATATCTTAGCTTCGAGCTTATGTTGGATGTTGAATGTGATTAACAGGAGAATGGTTATAATAACAATGAATTATCACCAAGTTCTAGTTCCCAATTAGCTCAGTTGAGAGAGGAGAATCTCAAATTGAGAGAAAGGTGCCCAGTCCTTACCTGAATTGTGGATTTATGTGGGTTTTGTCAACCTTCAAACAATTTCTATTTGTTGAATTTCACAGATTGAAACGAAAAGAAGAAGAGATACTTGGTGATTTGCGGCTTGATTTACTGAAAGAAAAAGAAAGAACCAAGACTCTCGAAGCTGAGGTAATAAAAATCAATACCATTTTGTTTGTGAGAAAAATGCTGTGGTTATTGACATCTTTTAGTGGCTGAAATATATGTACCTCCTAGTATGATATCTGATTTTTTCTGTCCATGATTGTGATAAATTAATACATGTATAGTTTGAGAGTAGATGTAACTCGGTGCCTAATATGTCGATATCTAGCAATGTTTCAAGCATTCAGATCAATAATACTACATACATTGTTCTTGATTTAAAGATTCCTGGTGGTCTTTTCATTTTATTGTCTCAGGTGTATTAAGCGGATTATGGAAAATAAGTAACTAGTTAGAGAAATGCTATGGAGCCAACCACCAATGTTATAGTGCCACGTAGGTCATGTGGAGTTAATTATTTTTTTACATGGCCTACGTGGCACTATAACATTGGTGGACCATTGGCTCCATAAAGGAGCCAACCATTGGCTCCATAGCATTCCTCCAAGTAGTTATACCCTCATTGTGATATAATGGAAATGCCCAACTACTAGAACATTGTACATCAAAATCAATTTGTCAAAGTTATGATGTAAGCAGTTGTGAGTTGTCTACGCTAAAGCAAGTGATTGTAGAAAACAAAATCATGCTTGATCTTTATATGTCTGTTATGTTCATTAGCATAGAATATCAAGAAGGAAAATCAATACAATTTTTTTATTTTTTTTGGTGAAAGTTGGGTAATCCAAAATTGTTGACTTAAATTATATTTTCTTACTGTCAAAAGTTTATATTGGTTACTTTGAGATGCAAAATCCAAAATTTATGGGTAAAAATGCAGCAACACTTTGCAGACATATCTGATATTGAAAAAGACCAGTTCTTATATGCAATGCATTGGTTGCCTCGGTGCTCAGTTATAATTTGGCAACTCCAATATTAAATACAATTATCTCTGATTAGCTAGTAATCCAAAAATTAAGTGTGGTTTAAGCAGAATCTAGAACCTGCCAAAATTCCCATTAAATTGAAAAAAGAAAAGAAGGAACCTTGACTTCCGTGTTTGCCAACTGTGATGTGCTATATATAAACTGACATCATCTTCATTTGACCAGCTGCAAGAAACAACACAAAAGTATGAGGAGCTAAAAGCAGAGCAGGAGAGTTTAATTGATATATTTTCGGAAGAGAGACAGCGTCGTGACAACGAGGAAGAAAATTTGAGAATGAAATTAAAGGTTCATTTTTTGTTTTCTTTTTCCTTCTTTTTAGCATCTTTAGTTGACTTGTGCAATTTTGTTATTGCAACTCACTTTATGTGCACATATGGTGTTTGTACTCAGGAAGCCACAACTACCATTCAGCAATTACTGGACAGGATAAAGTTGATGGATAAAAGTAAATTTGGTTAATTGGAGACCGTGAAGATATCCGTTTTTGAAGTACATAAAGCTTGTGCATATGTGATGTAGTAGGAGCTGCTCGCTGTATTTTGCGGGCACCAAAATCTCTCTCTCCCTAATCCTAATCCTAATCCTTGTAGGCTAGTTAATAGTCCATCTTGATTGTGTGACACAGGATAGTATTTGAATTTGGGAGGGAGATGAGTTTTCCACGTGCCTGTGTGCCTTTAAAAGATGCTGTTTTCAAATGCTGCTGTGTACTTCAAACAGATTGCTTAGTATTCTCTTTTCTTGTGAATGTTGAGAGGTAATTGCCTGACAAGAAGCGTGAAATCCTAACTCCTCAAATATCAAACATGCGGTCTTAGAATGCCGTCCCCAAAAGTTAAAATTCTATGGTATGAGGAATCATTTTTCACAAAATGTAGTTTTTTAAGAAAACCAACAAGCACAAAGTTTGATACATCAACATAACTCAACAACAAACTGAAAAAGATAACATAATGTCGGGAAATGAGAGAACCACACACATCCGGTGGCCTAGAACTCCACTAAACTAACAAGCTAAAACCACAAGAAGGAGCAAGGCAGTTACATACAAAGCCCTTTACTCCTTACACAAGAAAGACATGGAAAATAATATGACAAACCACTGATTTAAAATCCTAGCTTGTCACTGAAAACTGCCATTTCCATCACCATGCCTGACCACTCTGCTTGCCCTGAAGGATGTCTAGTCATTGATAGCTGCTTGGACATGAAGACGTGCATGCCGTTTGACTTTCAAATATCCAGAGGTTACGGGATTTCTAGAGCCACCAGAGTATGTAGGTGGATAATTGAATTCTCGCTTCTGATGTCGCTGATTTATCAAGCTGACATATTGATATAACCATACTTGTGAACCGGAGCCAAGTACGAAGAGGTCTAAGTGAAGCCGAAGAAGAGCGACATGAGGAGGTCTAGACGAGACTTGAAGGTCTCTGTGACTGAGTATGAGAAGCTTCACACGACTAAGTGTGGGAAGTAGACATGCTCTCTGTGACTGAGTATGAGAAGCTTCACACGACTAAGTATAGGAAGTAGACATACTCTTTGTGACTGAGTATGAGAAGCTCCACATGACTAAGTATGGGAAGTAGACATGCTCTCTGTGACGGAGTATGAGAAGCTCCACACAACTAAGTATGAGAAGTAGACATGCTCTCTGTGACTGAGTATGAGAAGCTCCACACGACTAAGTATGGGAAGTAGACATGCTCTCTGTGACTTAGTATGAGAAGCTCCACACGACTAAGTATGGGAAGTAGACATGCTCTCTGTGACTGAGTATGAGAAGGTCGAGCTGCTCTAAGAAGATAAGTAGAGGTCATCTCGACTTGCTAGACTTACCAGAGGTCATCTCGACCTGCTAGATCTGCTAGAGGTCATCTCGACCTACTAGACTTGCCAGAGGTCATCTCCACCTGCTAAACCTGCTAGACTTGTCAGAGGTCATCTCGACTTACTAGACTTGCCAGAGGTCATCTCGACCTGCTAGACTTGCCAGAGGTCATTTCGACCTGCTAGACCTACTAGAGGTCATCTCGATCTACTAGACTTGCCAGAGGTCATCTCGACTTGCTAGACTTGCCAGAGGTCATCTCGACCTACTAGACTTGCTAGAGGTCATCTCGACCTGCTAGACCTGCCAGAGGTCATCTAGACTTGCTAGACTCATCTCGACCTACAAGACTTGCCAGAGGTCATCTCGACCTGCTAGACCTGCTAGAGGTCATCTCGACTTGTTAGACTCATCTCGACCTGCTAGACTTGACAGAGGTCATCTCGACTTGCTAGAGGTCATCTCGACCTGCTAGACCTGCTAGAGGTCATCTCGACTTGCTAGACTCATCTCGACCTGCTAGACCTGCTAGAGGTCATCTCGACTTGCTAGACTCATCTCGACCTGCTAGACTTGCCAGATGTCATCTCGACCTGCTAGAGGTCATCTCGACTTGCTAGACTCGGCTCGACCTGCTAGACTTGCGAGAGGTCATCTCGTCTCGACTGGACAAGAGGAGCTAGAGCTCATCTCCGCTACTAGACATCTCCACTACTAGACGTCTCCGCTACTAGACGTCTCCGAGACTAGAGGTCTATGTGACTAGAGGTCTCCACAACTAGACGTCTTCTCTACTAGACGTCTCCGTGACTAGAGGTCTCCACAACTAGACTTCTTCTCTATTAGACGTCTCCGTGACTAGAGGTCTCCGTTACTAGACCTCTCTGTGACTACAAGAACATGATCTAGAGGCAATAATTGGATAAGAAGGAATCTTGAGCTGACTAGGAGATAGATGGAATGCGAACCGACCAGGGCATTTTGGACACTTCAGGTAAACCGACCGGGACATTTTGGGTACTTCAAGCAAGTAGTTCCCTCTATATAAAGGGTCTGAGGTAATCCTAAACCCTAACCTTTACTCATTCTATACACTTTCCATCTCTCTGCTGCTGCTGCTGCTCTCTGAGAGCAGCTCTCTCTCCCACATTCTATGCATTTCTACATGCATCACAACTCTACATCACAGAGCTTCATCTTCCTCTCCTCTGTTTACTGACTTGAGCGTCGGAGGCCCGATGCCGGGACCTCTCCCTGCATTGGGTTCTTGCAGGTGTTTGCGGCGGTCTAGCAACGATTTGAAGGCGGTTCAAACAGATCGGAGCTCACAACAACCGGTTTACTCCAGATATGGAAGTAGACCCATCACATATGTTCCACCACCAATCGTGAAAAGGTTCACCATTCTGTGGCCCATCCCAGTGCACAGGAGACAACTTCCAAACCAGTTGAGCATAGGGGTAATGGAAGAGCACATGTTCAACTGACTCTCTTTCTTTACCACATAGACCACATATGCCATCAACCTCAATTCCTCAGGCAAGCAGATTCTGCTTCACAGGTAGAGTGCCATTACAGCACTTCCAGATAAAATGCTTGAGTTTGCCCATAACCTGCAGCTTCCAACTCCTGTTTCTGACTTAGATGTCTCTAGCTAGATCCCTACTCCCTTGTGCCCGTCCACTTTTAAGGTACTTTTCTGCAATTAGGTGTGCATAAGCAGACTGCACAGAGAATAGGCCCTTTATGCTTAAATTCCAAGTCCATCTATCATTGTGATTTGTGTTAAGAGTCTTAATGTTCAGAATCAATTCACAGATGTCAGGGGGAAAGGTTCTCCTGAGTTTAATTTCATCCCGTTATCCACCCATCAGCAGTCATAAGGTCCCTCACCCAAACACAATCTCTGTCAATCCCAGACAACAACTTTACTGGTCTACCATTCAGTGTTGGTAACCAATGGGTCCCAGATCTTGGTGTTACTGCCATCCCCAATTTCAACCTGCATCCATTTGCCACTTATCTGAAATACTGACTGCCAGCATCTCCAGAGCCAAGATGAGTTCTGCTTAATCTGTGCCTCAAAGATAGTAGAGTTAGATAATATTTGGTTTTAAGAACTATACTCACCAGAGATTCAGGCTCTGTAAGTAATCTCCAGATCTGTTTGGCAATGAGAGCAGTATTAAAGAGCTGGATATCTTGGAAACCAAGACCACCATGCTGCTTAGCCAAAGTTAATTTACTCCAAGCCATCCATGAAAAGCCTTTCCGCAACTCTGGTCCCTTACTCCACCAAAAGTTCCCACAGATTCTGGAAATTTCCTTGCACAGAGTGATAGGCAAAACAAAGCAGGACATGGCAAAGACATGAAGGGCCTTAAGGACAACTTTGATAAGAATCTCCTTACCTGATTTAGATAGCCATTTATTTTTCCAGCTGCAAACTCTGCTTTGGACCACTGTGCGAATATATTCAAATGCTTCTTTCTTAGATCTCCCAATTCCCATTAGGAGAACTAGGTATCTAGAGGATGAGTGCACCTGAATTCCAGATAGGATAGAACAACATCTGGATTGCAGCTCTGGTGGGGTGTTCTTGCTAAAAAGATTGAAGATTTTGCCATGTTCACCTGTTTCCCTGTAAAACTGTGGTAAGCTTGGAGAATATTGAGGATCCTAGAGGCCTGATGTTCATCAGCTTTACAGAATAGCAGTGTATCATTTGCAAACAATAGATGCGTCAATGAAGGTCCACCTTTTGCTAGCCTAACACCCTTATAACTTCCTTTATCAGCTGCATTCTGGATCTTGGCAGGCGATAAATCAGAAATAATGATAAAGAGGTAGGGGGAAAGGGGATCCCCCCTGCCTTATCGCTCTAGAAGCTGTAACTAGACCACATGGTTTGCCATTCAAATTAAAGGAAAAGGTTGGGAATTGTATACAAGCCATTATCCACTTCACAAATTGAACAGAAAACCTCATTCTCAATATAGTCAGTTGCACAGATTTCCATCCCACACTATCAAATGCTTTGATCATATCCAATTTTAAAGCCATGAAGAGATTCTTACCTGATCGATGTCTGTTCAAAAAATGGAAGACTTTATGACCCAAAATCACATTATCAAGCAGTTGTCTCCCAGGAAGGAAGGCTGCTTGATTTTCAGAAATACATTCATTGAGGCAGAGTTAATCTCAGAGCCAGTATCTTGGGAATCACTTTATAAAAAACTGCACATAGACTTATAGGTTTGTACTGGCTGATAGAAATGGGGTTAAAACATTTAGGAACCAGAGTGATTAAAGTATGATTCCAATATTTCAAGAGCTGACAGGAATCAAAGAAACTCTTAACTGCAAAAGAAATGTCATTGCCAATGATAGGCCAGAAGTGTTGGAAAAACAGACCTGTCATGCTGTCCTCCCCAGGGGCTTTGTTCGGATGAATACTAAAAACAGCCTTTTTGATGTCCTCTTCTTCCACATGAGTTGTCAATATGGCATTCATCTCATCTGTGACTGTCTTGTTGATCAACGGCAAGAGTTCATGACCCCTCCTGCAGCCATGAGAAGTATAAAGCTTGGCATATGTAATAGCCCAGTTCTGTATTAATAAAATGACAATTTTTAGTTCCCAGTTGAACTATTTCTTTTTATTAATACTGCTCGTCTTGAGTTCTGAGCCCAGTTATCAGCTATTCAATCTCAATTATTAATTCCGGTCCATTTATTTTATCAATGGATTTTATTTAGTCGGAATTAATTATTTTAGTTGACGAATAATCGAAACCAAGTATGTTCTGATAGATCGTCCAAGTCAAGCCGTGTCCGGAACCGAGTATGTTCGGTCGCGAGTATCGCGCCTAGTTCGCGCCTAGTCGAGTCTCGTGCCCTAGCCGTGTCGAGTCTTGTTCGAGCCCTAGCCATGCTCGTAACCTTAATTAGAATATTTTCTAAGTATGAGATCATTTTTATCGAGCCTTCGATATCATTCCCTCGGCCTAAGTAACCCCGCACCGAGCTCGTGCACGGGTCCGAGTCCTCGCGCCCAAGTGTTGCGTGCCTCGCCAAGCCACGAGTGCCCAGTCATGGTTAGTAATGTGGCATAATTTTTCTAAGTGTTTTGGTTCCCTAGACGAACCACGAGTTCAGCCCTAACCAAGGGTTATCCTCGGCCAAGCATTTCCGAGCCCGAGCCATGAGCCGCGCCCTAGTGCCGCACCTTAGCCTTGCGCGAGTCAAGCATGGTGGCCCAAGTCATGGCCAAACACCTTTGGAATTTTTCTAAGTGTGGAGAGTTTTATTCCGGCCCTAAGCATGTGGCATTCTCGGCCCAAGTCTTTTAGCACGCGCAGCCAAGCAGTTTCCGCGCCCAGCTCGCGCCCAGGGCCCAGCAGCGCCCAGGCCCAGCGCTGGCAGCGCGCGGGTCCAATTCTTTGGCCCAATGTGGAGTTTTTCGGCCCACTTCTCCAGGGCCCAACATCATGCGAGTATTAAGGGGTTAATGGAGGACTAATTAAGCCCATGAAACCCTAAGTAAGGATTAAGGGGAAATCACATGGCCATTAGCATTATTATATAGTAGTGGGCTTGAGTGAGGGCATTGTTTAATGCTTGGTCTTGTCCCTTTGTGGTGCCACTCCCTTGCGAACGTCCAGAGCTGACAGAAACCTGCTCCCCCACTATATTTCACTCTGCAAGATTCCCTAAGATCGTGCAAGTCAGCATGGGAACCAAGACCAAGTCCACCCATCAACCCATGCGCATGTGATGTTTTTGTGCCTCCCATTTGAAGACCTCGTATGCTCCGCCCCTCCCACCTATTTAAGGCCATTCTCAGCTTAGTATTGAAGCTCTTGGAGACTTTAAACACATAAGTTTATGGAGAGGAGTTGAGCAAAACCGAGACCAAAGTCCTACGCCCTTAGCGCGCGCGAGTGTGACCCGAGGAAGAGGAGTGCTCGTGTCCAGCTTGTTCCAGCCATTTTCTCTCGGGGCTCAGCCATTCCATAGTGCTTTGTGGATTTTTAGGAGTTCCCAGAATCCATCATTTGCAGCCAATAGTCGCTGGAACAAGTCAAAGCTCGAGGAGCCGTGTGTAGGCACTAGTGACGGGCATCACCACCATTTTCGAGTTTGAAGGAGGTAAGCTCGTGCCACCCATTTTTCTCAGCCATAACATGATATTTTAAGAATTACCATGAAGAAAGTTGATGCCATGCACGCATGCAAAGTGATATTTCGAATTTTAAAGGTTAAAGGGCTTAATTTCGAAATTTAAGTAGCATGCATGATATGGCCGAGTTTGATAGCTTAAAAATCCTCAAAAATCATGAGTATGACATGGTTAAAAGATTAGCATGCTTTGAGTTCATATGTTCGGTCAATTTGATATGTGAAATCGAGCCATTTTCACCCCCGAACCTAAGTATATGTGCATGCATGTTATAGCCAATGTCCTAGCCTCATTAACCATGATTTTTGATGTATATCATTCGGCCCTAAGTCAATTTGCATGTTAAGAATGTTCATTTTTGTGCCCTAGTGTGGCCTTGTGCCTAATCGGCCCTATAAGCCCATCTCCAAATCCAACCGAGGTCCCTCAGTGACTTTTGGCATTTTTGAGTATATTATGTCATATTAGGTTGATTTGGTTCAGTAGTCCCCGGCAAAGTTGCCGGAAGTTCGGCAAAGGACCGGCTAGGGTCACCAGCCGCGCCAGTCGCGCGTGCCGTGCCCGTGTGATGAAGATCGCGTGTCCCGATTGCCGATAAGCCACAAACCAGTGCCTTGAATCGCCGATAGGTGTCTCGAGGTTTGCACAACCGCACCCCTTGAAACGATAAAATTGCAAAAGAAATCTAGAAGAAATATAAGGCAAAGTGTTTGAACAAAAGTTCAGTTTTTCTATTAATTTCTGAATCAATATTTTGAATGACAATGGGGCCTTTTTATAGATGCCAAACTAAGTCTATTTCTAATCTAAGAAGAACTCCTAATGTTTGGAAATAAATAAAGTCGTAAGGAACTAAATCACTAATTAAAGCAATAAAATATTAAAGTCCTAAACAATCTAGAAATCATAATGGAATAAGGAAACCAAGTATCTAAGGGATCTTGAAAAGCCTTGACTTGCACTCCAAGCCAAACATCCCAACCCTAATCTCGCCGCCTCACGCCCCGACCGTCTGCGCGCCTTGCCTTAGTCCTCGAGGACTAAGGTCGCGTCGCCCCTCAGCGCGCGTGCCTGCCCGTTACGCGTATCGCTCGCGCACGCGTCCTCGGCGAACTCTTCGGGCGCGTCCCCGGCACCTGCCGCGCTACTGCTACCCGTCACGCACTGGCCCATCGTACCCGTCGCAGGCGCGTCATTCCCCCTCGCGGCGTCATTTCGCTCGCGCACCAGTCGCGCGCTCCCACCCGCCGGACCCTCTTCGCCCGCCTCGCATGTCCCACACGCGATGGCTTGTGTTTCCCCCGTCTGCCGCGCTAACCTCTTGCGCGCGTGATAGGCCCAGCTCGAGGCATTCCTGAGCTGCCTAGCCACATCCGCATCATTCCCGTCCCCTTTAAGTGCTTCTTTGTCCTCAAGGATGAAATCAGGGAACTGCTCGCGCATCTCATCTACATCCTCCCATGTAGCCTCCTCCGATGGCAATTCTTCCCACTCGACTAACACCTCCCAACGATAGCGCCCCGCCTTCCTTACTTGACGATATTCGATCGCACGGCTTGGCCTCACAATGGCCCGCCCATCCGTTGCCGTCGCGGGAAGCTCTTCGCACCACTTGTGCGCCTCTCCTAGACTTCTTTTGAGCTGCGAGACGTGTATGACTGGATGGATGTGCGAACTCTCTGGTAACTCCAGACGATAAGCTACTTGCCCTATGCGCTTCAAAATCTGGTAGGGCCCGTAATAGCGTACCCCGAGCTTAGTCGCTGCCCTTTGCGCCGTCGTTCGCTGCCTAAAGGGCCGCAGCTTC